ATTATTTCAATCTCCATAAAATACTTCTACTAAAACTAATTAACAATTAAGTCTATTTATAGGCTTCAAAATTAGAAAGAGAATTGAAAATTACTAAAAATACATAAATCATTGAATCAATTGCATCACCTTTTTTAATTTTTCATATTAAATGATGAATTGAATCACATTAAGAAATATGAGTAGTGGAGATATGAAAAGCATATGAACAATCATATAGACATTCATTATTTCATAATATATGTAATGTTTTTTGTTATTATTTATTTACCGTTGACATTTAAAATTGAACTAATCTCATTTTTTCATTTAATATCAAAATATTTTTTTATTTAATTAAATTTATAAAGTCCTTTGAATCGAGTAATGGGATTTAAGGGTACCTTAAAACATACACGTGTCACTTGTATGTCTAGCATTAGTCCTTTTAAGATGGGGATTCTATATATTATGATTAAATTGTTAAAAGACTTTAATTTTGTAAGCCATAAATTATTAAAAACCATCCTCGATCAATGTTATCATGTGAATTTCTAATATTATGATTAATTTTGTAAAAATTTATATATATATATATATATGTCGAGTTATGTATAATAAAAATTATTAGAAAAAACTATCACAATACCCCGTGCATATTTGTAAGGGGTATACTATGAATTTATTCGATATACAAGGTACAAGGTAAGAGTTAGTTATTTCATTTTCGTTGAATGTATGACGAAAAATATTCTAGTATTTAAGAAGTGTCTATAATTCCGTATTATATTCATTTAAATTAAAACACACTTATATTAATTGATATATCGATATGATTTTTATTTTTTATATTATTTTTATTTTTATAAATCACTTAAGTTATATCATTTTTCATTTATATATTTTGATTTTTAATAAAAAAAATTGAATTCAAATCAAATATATCATGTTGATATAAACTAGTTTTTTTTCCTCCATTGCGTTGAAAGTTGAATATGACATATGAAATCATTTGAAAAAATTATTTTCACTTGACGATCTGTATTATATTGTAGATCAACATAAATATATGAAATCAAAAATAATATATATATATATATATATATATATATATATATATTATTTTTTAATTAAAATTCTATATTTAACTATTCCTCTTTGTGTTTTTCACAAGTTTTCTACTAAAAAATAATTTATTATTCTTAATTCATGGATTCTTAACTAAAGAGAAAATTAAATAATTTTTTTTAAAAGCTCGAGTATTTTATAAAATTTTATCAAAAAACAACGTAACAATTAATAAACATTTATAGAAATAAAGAAATAATTTTTTTTTATTTTTATTTAATACTTATGAGAATAAGTTTTTGAAAGCATATGCATTTGATTTTTATATATTTATTCATAAAATAATGAATAGTTTAAAATAAAAAGCTCGTATTTGAATCATTTGAAGATTATGCTAAAATATAATCTCAATTATTTAATTTCAAATAAATTTATTTTAAAATATCCAAAAATAAACAAACAAATAAATAGTAAATGTTTAGTTTTGTGGGAGTTGAATAGTTAATTTCTTAAAAAAAAAAATTTACAATTCAATATTTTCTTATACATTATAACTATACCGAGTGCGTTCGTAGTTTGCATTGTAAAACAAAAAACACTATAAAAAATTATCAATTTATAAAAAAATATAAGTTAATAAAATAAAATAAAAATTATTACAAAATTGATTTTGATAAATTTTAATTATACAATGAAGAAGCAAATAAAACACGTGAATTTTTTTTCTTATATAATTTTTTATTTCTAGGCCATAAATGGGCAGTTCTTGTGCTCATGCCTCGTATGCAAGAGCAATCATCTCCCTTTTGTTTCTCGTATTCAACTTTTAATTATTAATTAATAGTTTTGAAAATATTTTTTTCCTAAGAAAATGAGATGTATTATCGGAAAAATACTTTGAATCTAAAAGGTGTATTTCGATAAATCACACACACAAAAACTACATTTCCTAAAGGAAAACAAAAATAGAATTAATTGAATATGCATATTATTTGAACACAATAATGTTTGTGAGAAAGATATGATTTCAAGAAAAATCATTAAAAATAAGATGCAAGAATTGCATTTATTATACTCTTAATTTTAATTATAAATAGAATGTAGAAGGTTGTTCATTTTTTTTTATGCTAGATTAGGAATTCTTTATTTTTTTCCTTCTTATATAATTTTTTATTTATAGGTCATAAATGATTAGTTCTTGTGCACATACGTACCTCACATGCACAATAATCATCTCCCTTTTGTTTCCCATATTCAACTTTTAATTATTAATTAACTATTTTGAAAATATTTTCTTCCTAAAAACTAAGACAGATTATCCAAAACACATTTTTAATCTAAAAGATATATAGATGTATGTTTCCTGAAGAAAAAAATCAGATTTAATTGCATTTATGTATTATTGGAACATGATAATTTTTGTGAAAAAAGATATGATTTTGAGAAAAGTCATTCAAAATAAGAAGCAAGAATTGCATTTATTAACTCTTAATTTTAATTATAAATAAAAGGTACAAGGTTGTTTGGTTTTTTATTTTTTTACAACGGATCGTGGGAATTACTTGTGCTCGTTTCTAAATTTAGTATATATATTGGTAAGAAGACCATTTGACTTTATCTTCTCTCCTCTCTCTCTTTTTTTAAATCTAAATTGGAGTTGTGCGATTATGTCAACATCCATAGATTTAGCTATGATATAGTATGTGTGTGTGTGTATATATATATATATATAGAATCAAATTCGACTAGATATTAAGACTAAGCATAAGATAACTAAGCGAAAAAGGAAACACACACACACACATATATCATGCTACTATAATTTAAAAATTGTAATGTAAACATTTTAATAATCAATCATATAAATTATATCAATCTATTTTTTAAAAAAGAAAATTAATTATGTTCTAAAAATCTATTTCAAATCCATACACAAGTGAAAAATAAATCAAAATCATCAGTAAATATAATTTTAAATTAATTGAATGAGAATTTTCACAAGAAATGACAGATTAAAGTAATAAAATTTAAATAATAAGGTAATATATTATGAAATATATATATTTCAATCTAAAATATAAAATTATATTACATATATTTCTTTCTTTCTATGCTGCGTTAAAAAAATAAATAATGATCGATCTTTCATAATTTTTTTTGCAAAAAATTCAATAATAAAACAAAAATTGCTAGAAAAAAAAGAGAAAAAAAAAACCAAGCAAAGCCCACACGAGCGAGCTTAAAAAAAAAAAAAAAGCAAACGACGCATCGTTGGCATGTCATTTAACTCGCTAGTTCCAATCAAGTTTGGTTGCTCGAAAAATAAGGCACTCATCTTAACATGCACAAAAACACACAGAAATCAAAATCAAACCCAAAATCCAATTATTTTGGGGTTTTAATTCACTTTACAGCAATTTCATAGCTTATAAACGTTACAAATAAACTTTTCTCTTCAAAACGAATAAATTGAAGGTAATATCGACAATCAAAATGACCAAAATGGAGCCTCGTCACGTCTCTCTCTCTCTCGCTATCTTCCTCTACACTCTCATTTCTCTACATTTAGGAACCAAAATATAATACAAATAAAGATGGGAATCAAAACAAAAATATGTGAAAAAATTACGGATCAAAGTATAATACTTTTAAGAACATGCAAATCGCATATCAAATGCTTTAAAATATTTTGAAAATTAAAACAATGTCATGAATAGTAATTTTTTTTTTGTGTAAATTGTGCCATAAATAAAAACCCATTTTGATTTAGTTTCTTTTATTGATGTTAATGTTAATTGTTAATGTTAAGGATATTGTTAAATTCATCGATCAAATGATTATTCTTACTAATTTTTTCTAGAAAATTACCAATAAATCATTAACTAATATTTGTTATATAATAGTTATTGAAAATCGATAAATATTGTATTGATAATTATTTAAAAAAAATGATAAAAATAACAATTCCGTTAATAAATTTCACAGCATCCTAATGTTAATAGCAATCCATCCTTTTACTTATCAATACGTGTTTCGCAAATAGCAGTAATAATATAACCCAATAGGGTTCGGCCACGCAGGTCGAATTTCGAAAAAAATGCTTGGGAGCCCTAGTGGCGAAAGCTCACGGGTTGGGGTCCTTGTGTTGGTTTCTATCGGAGTGTTAGTATAAAATGCAAAAGTAATACGTGGAATTCTGACGTGACAACAGCTGAACAAAAACATTTTTTTCCTTTTTTTTTTCGGTCCTCTGTTTCTCTGATTCAAGGTGCCAGCCAACCAGCCAGACAGATCCCGTGAAGTACTAAATTCTTTAACTCCAGGTATTATTATTTTTCATTAATTAATCAATTAACTTTTTTTTTAAATTTTTATTTTTTACACGGTTGATTGATTTCATTATTGGCGTGAGTGATTGATTCTCTGGTTGAGGAATTTTATGCCCTTGTTTTGTTAGCGAGAAAAGGAGGGAAACAATTATGAAAATGAAAAATCTACGGGAAGTTTATATTTTTGGGGATTTTTTTGAATATATAACTTCCGGGTTTCTCTTCTTGGAACTAGAGAGGAGAAGAGAGGTGCATTAGGGATTTGAAAAGTGGGGTTTTTTTATTACCTTATTCATGGGATAACATTATGCAACTGCTGCTTTTCATTCTTTTCAAAGTGAAGTTTTGAGGTTTAAGAAGGAATGGAAAATGAGTTTTTGAATTAAAGTTTGGTTTTTGAATTGCTAGCTTTTATGGGTTAGCTTTGTAGATTCATGAGTATTGTTGATTTTTGGAAGAAGGGCAATGAGATAACTTTCTAGTTGGAAAAATGGAGGATGTTAAGATAATAAGTTTTTTTAGGATTTTTGGGAGTTGTTTAGTGATATTGTTTTTTCTTTTTTTTTTCCCAAAAAGAAAAAAGAAAAAAGTGGAGATAGGTATGGGTTAAGAGTTTGGTGGTGAATGGGGGTTCAAACAATGGCATCTCAAAGTAATGGCCAACAATCTCATCTACAGCCGTATCAATTGACAAGGCAAGACTCGTGGTATAACCTCACTCTCAATGAAGTTGAAAACCAATTAGGAAACCTGGGCAAACCCTTGGGTAGCATGAACCTTGACGAGCTTCTTAAAAATGTATGGAGCACTGAAGCAAATCAATTCGTGGGAATGGATAGTGAAAGTACCTCAATGTCTTCTCTACAACGTCAAGCTAGTCTCACATTGGCTAGGGCATTGAGTGGGAGGACAGTGGATCAGGTATGGAAAGAGATTCAACAAGGGCAGAAGAAGAGGTTTGGTGAGGAAATGAAAGTTCAGGAAAGAGAGCAGACACTTGGTGAAATGACTTTGGAGGATTTCTTGGTACAAGCAGGACTTTTTGCCCAAGCAACTATAAGTCCTTCTTTGGATTTGGTTACTGTTGATGCAATGACCCCACAAAGTTTTTCACAGAAAATGGTCCTCTCCTCATCCCCGTCAACAGGCACATTATCTGACACTACGACATCAGGACGAAAAAGGGATGCCCCAGATGCACTTGAGAAGAGTATTGAGAGGAGGCTCAAGAGAAAGATCAAGAACAGGGAATCTGCTGCCCGTTCACGAGCTAGAAAACAGGTAAGCTTTTAAACGCCTTCCATTTGTCTTCAGGGGTTTACTATACCTGGGCATCTTTTTGGTTATCCATGTCCTTAAAACTGAATTTGCAAACATGCAGGCCTATCATAACGAGTTGGTGAGCAAGGTTTCACGTTTAGAGGAGGAGAATATAAAGCTCAAGAAAGAGAAGGTAGGAAGGATATTTCATTTTTATCATTTGCTTGCTATTTCTTTTTCTACTAATATACGTCAACCACTCTAAGAGGGAAGATGAAAGGAAATGGCCGAATGATTAAGCGCCTGCACTGAATTAGAACTAGTGTTCCAAACTTTTAAGTTGTGTCTCAGCCAGTTCAGATCAATATATATTCTGAACTATTTAACAGAGATTATGCTCTCATTTGAGAGGACTAGCTAGAGAGGATATTTGGTCTTGATCATAATTGTTAGGAGTAAGGCTTAAATAAGTTGACAGTTGTTGAAAATGGCATACTTTCTCCATTTCTAGATGTAACTTGAGAAGCTGAATGTTGTTAAGTGCTAGTCCTTCTAATGCTATGCTATTGTTTTGATGTTCCTTGTGCCAATTATAACAAAAAATATTGTTTTGTCATATTATTGCCAATTTGACAAACGAATTGCATTGCACATCCAATGTTTTTATGGGAATTGGAGTTTGACTGGTCTTTTTAATAGATCTCCCAACTGGTCGAGGGACGTGGTTATACTTTGCTAAACTTTTTTTCGTTTGGCTGAATAATTTAATCAGCCAAGTAGGGCACTAATTAAATAATTCATTCCTTGGGACTTGTTACATATGGGTAGAACGTTCACTTTTGGGGCAGAATCTTGTTGATGGTTGCTGTTGGACCTGCATAGAAGGTGGAAAGTTTCTGGTTTATAAGATGCTGTAATTTGTAATGCCAACCAGACTGCATAACATGTTCTAGCAATTAGTGTGATACAGAGTGCTTGAGTTTGAGCAGCAAATGCAAATCTTAATCCACAAGTCTAATATCACTTAAATATTAGCTTTTGACTCTTTTACCAAATGTTTCCTTTGCTGGTGTAAGAAACCTAGAAATGGATTAAAGTAGTCAAATTTTTTCTGCATTTATGAATTACACACCATAGGCTGATCTAGGGTAGTTCTGTCTCAGTTAAACGAGTCCTTTACATTGAAGTAAATGGTTTTGTTCTCCAAATCGTTTTGCATACTGATGTTTCTTTCTCTTTCTATTTGTTTTTCTTTGTTTATAGGAATTTGAGAAGAAGTTCCCAATTGAACCGTCACCTGAACAGAAATATCAGCTTAGAAGAACAAGTTCTGCTTCTTTCTGACATACATTTCTCTAGCTATGTAAGAGTTTTGTAGTTGATCAAGTGTTAGTGCTAGCCTCTTGGGTTTGTGTGGAAAATGCTATGGGAATATATAACAAGGCTGCTTCATCTCTGCTACTACTGTTGTGATTCCACCTTGCCTGCCATTAACTTTCGTTCTATGTACATTCAAGACAATCTTGGTATTTTATACGGCACCAAAATGTGCTATGTTTATAACTTTATATCTCTAGGCTCCGATTTGTGTTGCTAGAAACTGATAACTTGAGAAAGAATTGTGCGAGACAGAATCGTTTCCGACCCATGTATTATGTTGTGAAATGATTTAAGAGCTAAGTTTAAGACATTTACATCATTAACTTAATTGCAACCAATTTCTTGAAAGTTGCTTTGGCTCTGCCATTTTTTACTTTGTTGTTATTGTCGGATTTATAATGCATGAATATTCACAGTGCTTGGAAATAGATGTTGAGGGTCTATCTTTGTCAGGATTTCGTAGCATTCAATGTCAATAGCAGATGTCAGATGCTGGAGTCCAAGGTTTTTTTGGGTCTTTCAGTCTTTTGGACAAGGGATTTTGTGATTGTTCAACCAATCATGGGAATATTTTGTATCTGTTGAGAAACAAATGCTCCCTCCTCATGGCTTCCTTCTTTTACCTTTTTCATTGGAGAATATAGATTTTTGGTGAGTGTGAATCGGAAAGCTTCTCCTTTGAGGATGAACACAGGATTGAGAGATATAATATTTCTCCCTTCATTCCTAAGGAAAGGTGATAAGGATATAATTTTTTTAAGATAATATAACAGCCTATCAGAAAGAGCAAAGACAAAAATGGAAAGACAGAAAAACACATAACAGCAGAACAAACTGACCAACATGATGAGAGAAGGTCCATTAATCCACCACAAGTCATTAATCTCAGCAAAGCTGAAGGGCAGAAACACCGACTAAGAGAATCAAATGGCAGGGGAGTTTGTGAAAATCAAAATACAAAAAGTATAAAATAAGAGGGGTGAAAATCAAAATGCAGAAGAGAAAAGAAAAGGCTTCTCTCTCAACACAAAAAGGAGTCCACCCCACCCCACCCCCAACCAAACACGGGATTCTTTTAAATCTTGTTATAAAAAAATAAGGCACTTTTTAATTTAATTAATTTATTATTATTAAATTGGGGCAAAAATCCAACAAAAACTGCAAAGGTAGATTGCGTATTCGGGGAAAAGCCACTACACAGAGCAGAGAAATCACACCCCCAAGAGCAGTATCTAATTCTAAAACATGAAATCCCAATAAAAATTCATAGCCAAAATTAACAAACCAATTGTCTTCACAAATGGTGTAAAGAAGAATCAATTTCTTCAAAAGGATAGGATCTTGAATGATATTCTTACACCTGCCTAACATGGCAGCAGCCGTTAGCTGAGTCCACTTCTATTTCCACGGGACGATATCCAAGCATCCAAGCTAGTTGAAGACCACGATAGGCAGCCCATAGTTCAGTTTGAAGAGATGAACAAATACCCAAATTGGCAACAAAATCCCTTCAAAAACTGACCACTGCTGTATCGCATTAGATCCCAGCAGCAGCATAACCATGGTTACCCCTACTAGAGCCATCAGTGTATATTCTTAAGCACACTTTTGTAATATCAATTGATGGTAAATTAAGAGCATAAATATGGTATTCCTATCCCAGCTACGTGCATTAGTTTGGCTTTGATAATCTTACATGATTATAGCCCGGTCCGCATATGCTGGGGCTAAACATCGTAACATCTTTGTTAATTTTTTATCACCAATATTCTTTTTGTTAGTTATTTGTTTATTTTAATAAATGTTGATGATGTATATTAATCATAACTATTATCCCACATGAAACTTTGGTACATAAATAGGAGAAAGGCCTCATACACAGCTAATTAAAGAACATAAATCATCCATCTTTAGAACATGGAAGAGCACAAAACCTAGGACTCTAGACTGCTCTGCAGCTGCATTTCTCCATCCTCAGGGTAGCGTTTGGATGTTGTCTCAAGACAGAAGGGACAAAAAAGAACAATAAAGAATGAACAGAGGCGGAACTAAAGGTGGAAACGGAGTTTCTCTGTATCTGTCAAACTGAAACCATCAGTTACTAACCTCCTTTTGTCCTGAAACTTCCCCTTCTATCGTATATTTTACAACACCCAACAAAGCATACTTGTAGGAAGTTACAAACCAAAGGACTTTCAGAACTCATGTCTTTCAATTTTATTTTTTTCCATGTTCTGTACAGAGAGAAGCCATGCTTATATAGGCAGTATAGAGTCCTATTCTAGAAAGTAAAAGATATACATTATAGAGTCCTATTCTAGGAAGTAAAAGATATACATGGGATTTGACATGTACTGTAAATAAAACTCTAGAAAATCTCCCTATTTATTAGGGAATAACAACTCACGCTAACACTCCCTCTCAAGTTGGTGCATAGATATCGCCAATGCCCAACTTGTTAAGTGAGTTATAAAAGACTCGCTTGAGAGTGCTTTTGTAAGAACATCCGCCAATTGATCTTCGGACTTCACAAATGGAAACCGTATTATTTTTGCTTCAAGTTTCTCTTTGATAAAATGTCGGTCTACCTCAACATGTTTAGTTCGATCATGCTGAACTCGGATTTTGTGCAATTTCTATAGCAGACTTATTATCACGTAACGTATTTATCGCGTACTCCGATAAGTAGCCAATTTCTCTTAGTAACTCCTTTAACCAAAGAAGCTCACAAAGACCTTTAACCATGCCTCTAAACTCGGCCTCCGCACTAGATAATGCGACCACCTTTTGTTTCTTACTTCTCCACGTGACTAGGTTTCCGCCCACAAAGGTAAAATATCCGGATGTAGATTTTCTCGTCAATAATGCTTCCAGCTCAATCGGCGTCCGTATAACCACTAATATTCAAATGATTATATTTTCCGAACATGATCCCTTTTCCCGGAGATGACTTCAAGTATCGTAAGATTCCGAAAACAACATTCATATGATCTTCACTAGGATTATGCATGAATTGACTCACCAAACTCACAAGCATACGCAATATCCGGTCGGGTATGAGACAAATAAATCAGCCTTTCCCACTAGTCGTTGGTACCTTTCTTTATTTGTTTGGATTTGGTTTGAGTATTCTCCCAATCCGTGGTTCCGAACTACCGGTGTATCGACTGGTTTACATTCTAGCATTCCCGTTTCAGCAAGCAAGTCAAGCACATATTTTCTTTGTGATAAAAAGATGCCTTGACTTGATCTAGATACCTCGATGCCCGTAAAATATTTTAAACCCCCAAGGTCCTTCATTTCAAACTCGAACTTCTAAATATTTCGTAAACTAGAAATTTCCTCCTTGTCATTCCCGTAATTATCATATCGTCAACATAAATAATCAATGTCGTCACCTTCCGTTGTCAATGTTTCGTAAATAAAGTATGGTCCGAATTACTCGTTTAAAACCATGCTTCCCCATAGCCAAACTAAATCGTCCAAACCATGCTCTCGGTGATTGTTTTAGTCCATGCAATGACTTTTGCAGCTTACATACGACCCCAGCTTGCAATGAGGAAGTAAAGCCCGGAGGAACATCCATGTACACTTCTTCGTTAAGATTCCCATGAAGAAACGCATTTTTCACATCAAATTGATGTAGTGGCCAATCTAAATTTGCAACGAAGAGACAATGAACACTCGGACAGCTTTTAACTTTGCTATTGGTGAAAAAGTCTCCTTATAATCTATGCCATATGTCCGGGTGTATCCCTTTGCTACAAGTCTTGCCTTGTATCTTTCTACCGAACCGTCCGCATTGTATTTGATAGAGAACACCCATTTACATCCCACGGTTTTTTTCCCTTCGAGCAAGGTCATAAGTTTCCATGTATCATTCTTCTCGCAAGGTTGTCATTTCTTCGCTTATAACTTGGGTCCATTTGGGGTTGTTAAGTGCCTCATGTATCGTACTTGGAATATGCTCGGTGGATATTCCGTGCACAAATGCTTTGAGGGGTGGTGACAATCTTTGAGTGCACATATGGTTAACAATTGGATATTTAGACTTCCTTTCTTCATGATCCGATGAATATCGAATCGGTGGCTTGCCTCGATTCCGTCCGAAAGGTAATTTATAGCCAACATACTCATCTATAATATTATTAGAAGAAGACGGGTTAAGAACCGTACCTCGGGAGTATTCTCGGGAGTGTGGTCACGTGGTACTAAAACATCGGGATCGAGTCGTTCTTGCTTATCTCCTCTCTCGTTGTCGTATCTTCTTCCCGTCCAATCATATTTATCATTGAATTAGTAGGTTGAATTTCAACCACTCGGTGACGATGATGGTTGAGTTCCATCGAGTTCGGTCATCTCATCTATTCCATTCACTCCATCACTCGTTTGTATTCTCCAATCCCGGCCAGCTTTTCCAATTATCTATATTCAACTCTTTATTCAACTCGCTCCCCCGAAGAGAAGAATCCGGTATTGTAAAGAACATTTCTAACTCAAGAAATGTGACATCCATGGTAACATACAAGCGCTTGGTAGTTGGATCATAACATCGATAACCTTTCTTATGAGCTTCATATCCCAAAAACATACATCGGACAAAGACACGGGTCAAGCTTCATCCGTTGATTTCTATGGAGGTGAACATATGCTACACACCCAAATATTCGTGGTGGTAGCATCAAGACGAAGGCAATGTTACATGGCTAGTAAGGGTTTGAAGTGGCGTTTCAAGGTTCGAGGTCCGAGATGGCATGCGATTCATCAAGTAAACGAGCAGTAGTAATCGCATCCGTCCGATAGTGACGTGGTGCATATGCTTCGCTGTGAGGAGGGCTCGAGCTATTTCAAGGATGTGCTCGTTCTTTCTCTCTACAACACCATTTTGTTGTGGTGTTTGAGAGCAAGAAGTCCGATGAAATAAACCATGTGCTTGGAAATACTCGATAGTGCATTATTTCCAT